AGAGATGAGAGAAATGTTGTGGGGGGGCTGCGGAAGATGTGGGAGATTCGGCACAAGCACTGGGGGTGGATGCGAGGTAGAAGGCACCCCTACCCCCCCAATGACCCCCTGCCGAAGGAAGAGCAGGGAGGGGGGGAGGACTTGTGCCTACAGACAGGCCAAGGAAACATTGAATTGGAGGACCGGAACGGGAAAGAAAGAGGAGAGGGGAGAATGTAAAGGAAGGGGGGATAGTGGAGGAGTTGTCACGGGGATGGAGAGGGGGGAGAATGAGTGGCAGGAGCGTGGATATGATAGAGAGGGCATCCCCGCATTAAGAGAACGACAGGAGGGGATTCATAAGAAGGAAAAGGAGGGGTGTGGGCATGAGGGAAGAGATATCACTAACAGCAAGGTAGTAAGAATGAATGGGGAGGCACAGTTTGCGTCCCCGGAGGGATGCGAGGGGAGGAGCAATGATTACACATATACTCAGGGAGGTAGGATTGAATGGCGGTGTGAAGGGGAGAGAAAAGGAAGAGAGGAGATGGCTGGAGGAGGAGAATGAAGGAGTAGTGAGAGTAGTGAGAACACGGGTGAGAGAGAAGCCAGACAGCGCTACAGGGAAGGAGGAGGAGGGAAGTAGGGTGGGATTGCAAGTGGTCAGGAAAAGAAAAAAGGTTAATGAACAGCAAGATGAGGTCCCAAATGAAGGGGTGCCGTCCCCTCCCGATGAACAAGTAGAACAGGGAAAGAGAGGAGGTGGGAAAGAGAGAACCAGGAATGCAACAACTCGCAAAAGAAGAATCAAGAATGCAAAGCAGGAGGACTATCTGGGCCCGGTCACGAGATCGAGGAGCTGGGTGCAAAAGGCACCACTCCCATAAAAACATATATCCTCTTCAGAAGGAGCTGAAAATCCAATTAAAGATGCTTTTGGAGGCACAGTTTTTACTTGATCCTAATCAGGTGTGAGGTTTGTAGTTAATTGTTGCCCTGCTGAAGCATCTGACCAAAATTTTTCCACTGCTTGATGGCACTAATGCCATTGATGTAATACCTGTACTGGAGCCCGAGATTCAAGATGTATGAATCTTTTGCCCTATCTTTTCCCAATCTCTTAACCTAAGCACCCAGTGCTTAGGATATCAAGGGCAATGTTTCCCTACCTCCTCACCAGCTTCTTTATGTCTGCCTCAGGTGTTTTCACGCTTGATTTGTCTAACAGGAATCTTAGTTCCTGTACATGTTATTGCTGGTCCTGAGATAGATTGCAACCCTTACGTACCATTGAGGGTCCCATAGGACGAAAGTGCACTTAGGGGTCTATCCCAGACGCTGGTAAGTATGTTGGCTGTTGCTTTCCCTCGGAAGGGGGGGCTGTCCCTGTTCAGGCGCCATATGTATTACGCTAAGACAAAGACGCAGGCATTTCTTGAGCAGAGGTTTGAAGCTGCAGGACACAGCTTGAAAAACTCTGAGTTTATTTCTTCTTATATACTTGTTACAAACACCAGCTTAACCATTAGATGCTGACAAAGGTTTCTTCATTGGAAAATGTCTTCATGTAAGCATCTATTTTCTAGTAACACATTACATGGTCAAAGATCAGGTAAGAATAAATACAGGGAGATGAAAAGCAGAATGAACTAACAAAGACAGGAAGAGATAGAAAGAAACTTAAGCATATTATCTGTTTAGGTAGGTGAAGCATTAAGTCAAAAGGGTATGACCTTCTGGCTGCTTCATTGGGACAAAAGGGTATCAAGAGGTTATGAGGTTTGTGGGGGGGAAAGCATGGCAGTTTGCTGTGCATGTATTTTTCCCCACACCAGCTTTCATGTAAATTAGAACCGAGGCTAGGTTATGTCTAGCCTTTGAAATTAAAAAAAAAAGGGTTATACTTATTTTAAGGAAAGGAACTTAATTCATTGAAAGGGAATATGATTTGAATCAATGTATGACTTGAAAAATCTCCTGTCAAAGATCCTAGACAGATGTAGTCAGAGTATGCAAGATTGAACTGGATGGGTTGAAATGACATAGATCAGAGGTGGGGAACTAGGGCCCCTTTATGACTTATGGACTTCAACTCCCAGAATTCCTGAGCCAGCAGGGCCACAATTCCCCACCCCTCTCTCAAATGGGAAAAAAATGCAGATCACTAAAAAATTAAGGATGTTTTCGATTTGCTCTCAGATACCTCCCTCTGCATACACACAAACACACACAAATATAGCAATGGATGCTCTTCTAGATGGTCACTTACTTTTAGATTACATCCTTGAGGTTTGTAGAAAAAATCAAATGTATGTATAGAAGATATTTTCAATTGGAAATATTATCTAGCCTAAGTTATTCATTTGTGACAAAATTAAATTTGAAATTAATTTTCATTTCTATAACCATAACAGTGCTTTACTTTTAGTTCTGAAAATAGTTTTATTGAATTTCAAAAAGAAATTGTACACCAATGGTTATTGAAATTCTTTGCACTATCTCAAAGATTTTGTCATTCAAAATCCCTCTTCAGAAAACAAAGCAAGCTGGTGTATTGTTTGGATGGAGGGATAATGGATGGAGGGATGGAGGGAGTGAGGGAGGGATGGAGGGATGGGTTGGGATGGGATGGACGAGAGAGAAAGAGAGATTTAATATTGCCCTAAATGCCTTTAGAACAGAGAACAGACAAAATAGATTCTGATTTTGGATAACAGTTCAGTTTTAAAAGAGGTAACTTTGGATTCTTCTGAGGTTTTCAGATCATTGTGGAATTTGGGATGCTATGAGGCCAAGCAAGTTTAGCTGCAGGGCATCACCAGTTAATCAATACATGCCTTTTCAAACCAGTAAGTGTGCATAGGGAATTGACAGCTAGAATCTTGGTCTTCATTTTTTAGTCCTTGTTTAGAACCTTTACTTAGTCTTGCCAAAAACATTAACCTCTTCCTTACCTGTACAGTAATAAGGAGAACTGTTCTACTCTTTCAGGCAGTGTCCTGATAGCATAGCAATAAATTGGCCTTGCAATATTTTATATCCTCTGTTTGGCATCTGTTCTGAGCAGACACATCAGAATTGTGGTAATGCAACTGGGAGCAGGGCAAGCCAATGATATCCCTTGTGATACTTTTCACACCTACAAGGCAAAACTGGAAATAGCTCTGCTTTGTGCCGTGATTGCAAGTACTTGGTAGTTGAGGAAGGGGCAATTTCACTTAAAAAAAATTATTGGTAAAATTTTGAAAAACAAAAAAGTAGGGTAAAAAAACCTAAGATGATACTCACACACACACACACACACACCACACACACACACACACCACACACACACACACCTCTCAGGAAAAAAATATCTGCCACATTAGAATTTTTTAAGTAAATTATTGGAGCTGGGTCTCTGCTTGGAAGAGTCACAGGATTTTTCCCTCAAGGACTTGTGTGGATATATTTATTTATCTAAAAGTTTTATATCATGAAATGCTGATACTTTTCATAGCCTAGCAGAATATCAAATTATGTTTCCAACATCATGATGATTAAATAGTTTTAAAAGCCATTAAGTAAGCAAGCTATTTATGCAATTCAAGTACTTGGAAAGTCTAATGAAATTTGACCTTCTTAAGAGACTTAGTTTTGTCAAGTGTACATACATCAGGAAACATATTTTATAATTTGTATGCATATCAACCGTTTGCTTTAGTTGTACACTGATTTGTGGTTTGGTACTATTATAGAATTTGTATGCTGGCTTGCCATTGGTTTAGCTTAAATTACTTGACTAATGTGTGGGCTGTAGAGGTCATTGTATCAATTTCACTCTTAACTACCCAATTGCTTCTGTTTCCTACCTAGATAAGTTGAAAAAAAGCATGGTCTTACATGGCCAAGGAAAATATGATTTTTTTTTCTGCTTGCAGTCTCGGTTGCATATAGATTATACTATTCATTCAATAATTTCCTAATGACACTCCATTCTTGCAAACAAAATTATTACTGCATTTGAAATGAAGGGCAAGTAGAAATGCAGCTTGATCAGCTCTTTCAATGTTCAAGTGGATAAATTCTCCTGGAGCTTTCAGTTACCTTGTGCGTGCCCTCCTTGTGTACTCTCTCTATATAGGTAGTCCTCGGCTTATAACCACAATTGAGCCCGACATTTCTGTTGCTAAGTGAGACAGTTGTTAAGTGAATTTCAGTCCATTTTACAACGTTTCTTTCCGCATTTGCTAAGTGAATCACTGCGGTTGTTAAGTTAGTAACATAACACAGTTGTTAAGTGAATCTGGCTGCCCCATTGACTTTGCTTGTCAGAATGTCTCTAAAGGTGGTCACATGACTCCAGGACACTGCAACTGTCATAAATATGAGTCAGTTGCCAAGCATCAGAATTTGGATCACGTGACTATGGGGGATGCTGCAAAGGTTGTAAGTGTGAAAAATGCCATTGTAACTTCGAACGGTCAGTAAACATATTGTTGTAAGTTGAGGACTACCTGTACAGAAGTCAATATGACTTGAGATTTTCCAGCTCTGTTTCTCTTGCTATTATAGATAGATGGATAGAGACTGATAGGAAATGATATGTTTTAAATATAGATAATGCCATTGAGGATCAGTTCGGTCTTTAACTATACCCAGTTAAGATTCTAGTGTACAATTTGGAGAGTGAATTTTCAGATAAAAAGACACAAAAAGCTACAGACAGACTTTATGCAGTTAAAATACAAAAGTCAATATGCAAATGATGGTCCCTTGTATATTATGTAATAATAAAATGTGGCTTGGTTTAAATGAAGGCATGCCTTTTAAAAACTCAGTATTGCAGCCATATTCATGCTTTGAAAATCCCACCAAGGTTAAGGAGAGAAAATTGTCTTGTTATTTTATTATAATAAGTTTCTCCATTCAGGCTCCAAACTGCTGGCAATCAAAGAAAATTCTTAAATGAGATCCATTTTCTATTTGAGATATATTGCATGTTTTGCAGACTCCACTATATTTTTGTTTTTCTGTTTCAGGTCTCAGTAGTCAACCAGCTGGATATGCAAGTCATTGTGTCAAATGTACCTCCTACTCTTGTAGAACAAAGCAAAGATCAGCTTATAGGGTAATGAATATCTTCATTCTGTAACCACCAAAAAGTCATTTATGATTAAAAATGTACTGATCCAAAGACATACCAAAAAATCTGGTAATTTTTGTAATTTACTGATTTATTTAAAAGATTTGTATGGCTTCCCAACTGAAAACATAACCCTGGACAGTGCATAACAATAATGGAAATCAGAAATATAAAAATCATAACACATAAAACCAAAACAGAACATGGTGCCTTAATCATGCTCCACAACCAACTTCAGACATCCCCATTCTACCCCAGTTAAAAAGCCATGTCTTGATGTTTTTCTGAAAAATTAAAAAGGTCGAACCTGCCAAAAAGTCTGTGTGGAGGGTGTTCTATAACAGGGGCCCCTAACCTCTGGGCTGCTACCCACTAGTTGGCCATGAGGTGTTTGCAACCAGGCCGTGGAAATGGTGAGGTGAGCATGCATGCACACATGCACACCCATCCCCACTTGCACCAGCAGTGGGTGAGAGAGTGCATGCAAGCTCCATTTGTGTGAGCGGCGGGCACATATGCATGCCACTTGTGCAAATAGAACTGTGTGCATGTGCTTGGCAGACGCTCACATGGAACTATCCCCTCCCCCCTCCCCCGGTCCTCAAAGCCGGAAAGGTTGAGGAACTCTGTTCTATAAGATAGCCACAGAAAAGGTACACTTCCAAGGTGCCACTAGATGGCAAGATTTCAGGGATGGGTACTGGAGTCTGCCTACTCTATCCAATCTGGTTTGATGCACTGATACTCTCAGGGAATGGTGGTTTCATATACAACTTGGTCCTATGCCAATAGGGTTCTGAATGTAATAACAGTACCTTGAATTGCACCAGGAAGGAAACTGAGAGCTCATGTAACAGCTTGACACACTTATATACAACCAATACTGTATGTACCACTGTGTTCTGGATCTATGGATTTGTAGTGTCTGAGTGGTCTTCAAGAGCACCTCATGTAAGTGACATTGCACATATCAAAAGGGGAAGTGAGACTGTAACATCAGTGATAAATCATAAAACCATATTAAAAAAAATAACCCTAGAGGTTAGTCAAACTAAGTAGTCCCTAAACAAGTCCACTAAACATGGTTCAGGCAATCCCACCTAAGCTTTGATATAAGGAATCTGTGTGGTCCCTAATTGTTTAACTTGCCTCAAGAAACATTATGATTTAATGAGCTAAAACTTAGATCCTTTTCATGTGTTCTGTGAATCAATCTCCAAAGCCATGTGACTAGAATCATCTGTGCTGCAACCCTGTCTACTGACTGATCAACACAGCTTAGAGTTTATATAAAAGTATAAATGAACCCAAGTGTTTGCTGAAGGGGTTTCTCTAAGCTTAATTAACTTGGCACAGCTTTCTTTTGAATTAGTATGCAGAGCTTGAAAGGAATCAAAGAATATAGCAACTACAGCAAGGAAATTCAGGCTGGCCATGCAAGATAAATCCCACTTTCCTCTTTTCAAAATATTATTAATGAAACAAAACAAAACAAAAACTTAGCCCTATTAGTTCCCCCCCCCCCCGTTTGTTATTTAAAAAAAAGACACGGTATCTTAATGGGGACCTCCATCAATACAATTAAATTATTAAAATTTATGAATCATTTGTAACACTAATGAAGGCTTGTTGTCTTGTGAATGATGCTAACTTTTAAGGCAAAAATACTTGATTTTCAGAAAAGTAATAGTAATTACTTCACCAATTCGTGATACTGAGGACCATTAGATTTCTCTTTCTGAAGGATGATTATAATAGAAGAGGCAATATATATTGTCCTACCTTAACAATGAAAGCCACCTGGGTGACCTTGGACCAGTCACACTTCAACCCACTCACAGAGTTGTGGGGGGGAAAGGAGGAGGCAGGTGTGTTGGCTACGTTTGCTGTCTAGAGTTCTTTGTTAAAATAGTAAATACATAAAGAATGAATCAGTGTTAAACATTATTTATTGATTGAAATTATATGCTGCCCAACTAATTAAATAAAAATGTTCATATTCAGAAGTGAGCAATGTCACATGGACCATTGCATACATCACAACTCTGAAGTGAAGAACTCAGAAAATAGTATCAGCATCAGCAGCCCCCAGACTAAGTGATCCTATAATAGACAAGTAATCACTGGGACTCCAGCTAGAACAAAGTATCAATATAAACCTTCCAGGGTCAATGAGATTATCCAAGACATCAATGGTGTTGTTGTTCACAGTACTCTTAGCAAAAGTAGTACAGGTAGTCCTCGATTTATGATCACAATTGAAATAATAATAATAATAATAATAATAATAATAATAATAATAA